ATATTTGCAACGTTGCCAGTTTTACAGTTTTTCCGATAAATCTCTCAACTTTAGTTTTTTAAATGCAAAACTATGGTAGTTTTTCATTTAAAATATTGGTCAAACCAAAGTGTTTTTAGGTCTAAATTATTAAATTTTTCTTTTTCGCATTTTGAGAGATATGGCAATAATGCATTTTCATTTAAAAGAACTGGAACGGTAAAATATCTCACCAATGACGTACATAACGTAATATTATCAAAAATTATTTAGTTAAGTGTTTAAATAATAGACCTTAGAAATTTCAGAAAAAATTCATTACAGTTGTGATTTTTATAAAATATTTTAAACACTTGAAAATCCATAACTCGAAAACTAAGCAATAATTGGAATTCATACTTAGTGAGGTAGAACAACTTCGGAAGAACTCATAAACCGTGTTCGACTTTTCAAAATTGTAATAATTTTTTGTATTTTTATTTTTATTTTGTTCTTAAATTTCGACATGTCCATGTGATATCTAATTGCTCGGTAATGGATGTCTTTGGTCAAATATCAAATAGATATTTCAAAAGACAACTAAATTACGAATTATTTAAGACCTTTTTGGACCCGACACATTCTGAAAAATTCTAGAAATTTTAACTTTACATTAAATTTTTATTTGTTTTATCCTAGCAATGTTCCTATTAACATTTCTACAAAAACAACTAGGTCGTCGGAAAGCAGATAGCTCGACAAAAGTAAAAGACTTAACGTATTAGGTGTTCAAAAATATTGGCCATTATTTGCCAAACAATATCCAAGTCTGTCATATTAATAGGAACATTGCTAGAATCAGACAAAAAAAAATTTCATGTCAAGTTGAAATTTTTGGATTTTTTCAAAATTTTCTATTTTACCAATCGGGTCCAAAAAGGTATTAAATGATTAGTAATTTTGTCTTTTAGGATATCTATTTGATATTTGACGAAAGACATCCATTACCGAGCAATTGGATATCATACGGGCCACGAGACTATGTCAGAATTTAAGCAAAAAAAATCAAAATACAAAAAATATTGAAATTTTGAAAAAGTCGAAACACGATTTTTGAGTTCCTCCGAAGCTGTTCTACCCCACTAAGTATGAATTCCAATGATTGTTTAGTTTTCGAGTTATAGATTTTTAAGTGTTTAGAATATTTTATAAAAACCGGAACTTGTGCGAAAATTTGGGGTCAATATTCTACGAACAGTTGTGCAACGGAACAGCCTAACGCCTGCGCAGTGTTTCACTTTCGAACAACTGTTCTAAATTTTGAAATATCCTTTATTCTCATTGGCTATATTTTGCGTACCTACGCACAGTACATGTATCTACTACGCACGGTCACAGCTGTCCCAGTTGTTTACATTATGACCTCGTAAATTAGCAGCATTAGGCGCGTTCTTTGTTTATCCATTTATTTTTGAGATCAGTGGGTCCATTATTTAAACACTTAACTAAATAATTTCTAATAATATTACGTTATGTTACGCCGTTAGTGAGATATTTCTCCGTTCCAGTTCTTTTAAATGAAAATGCATTATTGCCATATCTTTAAAAATTCGAAAAAGAAAAATTCAATAATTTAGACTTTGGTTTTACCAACATTTTAAATGAAAAACTACCATAGCGACGCATTTAATTTAAAAAATTTATCTGAAAAACTGTAAAACTGGCAACGTTGCAAATATTATTTTTAGATCTGGCACTTTTAAAAACCCCTGTATACCAAATGTCATAACGTTACATTAAGCCGTTGCTAAGATATTCCACCATTTCAGTTATTTTAAATGAAAATGCAGTATTGCCATATCTTTTAAAAACCACACGAGAAAAATTTGATATTTTAGGATTGTAGACACTTTGGTTTGATCAACATTTTAAATGAAAACCTACTATAGTTTTGCATTGAAAAAACTAAAGTTGAGAGATTTATCAGAAAAACTGTAGAACTGGCAACGTTGCAAATATTATTTTTAGATCCGGCACTTTTAAAAACCCCTGTATACCAAATGTCATAACATTGTATTAAGCCGTTGCTAAGATATTTTACCATTTCAGTTTTTTTTAAATGAAAATGCAGTATTGCCATATCTTTTAAAAACCACGAAGGAAAAATTTGATATTTTAGAATTGAGAATACTTTGGTTTGATCAACATTTTTAATGAAAAATTACTGTACCTTAGCATTGAAAAAACTAAAGTTGAGAGATTTATCGGAAAAACTATAAAACCGGCAACGTTGCAAATATCATTTTCAGATCCGGCACAATTAAAAACCCCCGTATACCAAATTTTATACCGTTATGTCACGACGTTGCCAAGATATTTGACCGTTCCGGTTCTTTTGGGATACCCTGTATATACTTATGGATCAAGCAACGACATACGTATTTTATACAAACATCGGCTTCTTAAATTGGTAATATTTTTATTTTAACAATGTTTATTCAACTTTCAAACACTCTCTCAGTTAATTAACATATTAAAAAAACTATTTATACAACTCACTTCCCTAACAAACGTTCTGTCACGTCTACAGACGCTTTTAAAATTGAGTCCCCATAAGACATAAATGTATTAATTTTTGAACTAGGAACCCGCGCCAATTTGCGATTCTAACCTAACTAATATGGTGAATTATATTTCTATAGTATAAGTACATATAAGCTTATTTTTTGGACTGAGCAAAAAACCCAAAGATTTTACTTAAATGGGTAGAAATTTTTAATTATTTCGATGAAAATAGCATCCCTTATTCGAATAATATTGTAAAATTAGTACCTACAATATACAGGGTGTTTGGTACATCGATAGGAAGTTTTCAATGCGCGATAAATGGGGTCATTTGGAAACTGTTTGACCATATTTACTATTTACTCTCGTGCAAAGTTTCGCCGTTTTTTGAGATATCGCTATTTTTAGATATTTTGAATCCACATATTTTAACACACAACTTGCGCTGCATATCTTTGGTATCAATCATTCGGTTTTTGTTTTTCTTTCCGTACTGTATCGAAAAAGTGCATATTAGGAATATCGGAAAAAATATTGAGAAAGTCCAAAGTATTTACCACCAAAAAAAAATTATATGTTCTAGGAACAATTCAAATATCTCCCAAAAATATTTAAGAATGATGATATCTCAAAAACGACGAAACTTTGCATAGAGGTAAATATGGTCAAACAGCTTCCAAATGACCCCTACTATCACGCATTAAGAACTTCCCATCGATGTACCAAACACCCTGTATTGTCCCGCTTTTGGAATTTTAAGACTAGGTCACTTTAGCTTAAGTTCGACGACCCAATGTTTTTGGTCGTCTAATTTTATTTTGGAATTTTTATTCGTCCATTTTTTTTTTAGATCATCCTAACCAAAAAAACCACTTTTTAAGGGGCAACTTTTTTGGGAAATAAAAGGAAAGATAAGTTCTTGACTGATTTTTATTGGAATTGATATTATTTTTTTAATAAAACACCTTAAATGAAGTTAAAAATCTGTATTTTTTAAGTTTTTGTTGAAAAACAAACTTCAAATATTTTTAAAAATTTATATTTGTGTCCGAAGTTACTTTATAACTCTTATTACTTCGATTTTATGCATTTTTAAATGCATGTCCGGGGTAAATTCGGACACTAAAAAAAAAAAAAAAATACTTGGCAAAAAATTTTGAACTTTTTTTTTGCATGGAGTCATAGAGGAAGGATGTAGGTACCTACATAAAAAAAACTGGTTGAATTTGAAAAAGATGAGGTCAAGAAAAATGCAAAAAACATCAAAAACCGTCCGAAGTCTTACGGTACTCACTTTACGTGCTATTCAAAAAACGTAATATTTCACTTCACGCACCAGGGGTGCGATTTTCGAAACCATTCGAGTACATTTCGTACACGAAATTTGACTGACAGCAATGTAAATTAAATGGGGAGCAGTCAAATTTCGTGTACGAAATGTACTCGAATGGTCTCGAAAGTCGCACCTTAGTACGTAATGTAATTCACTTTACACACTAGTGTGTAAAGTAATGTTAATTACAGATGTCGGTACTGTCAATTTTTATTTTTCAAGTGAATTACTTTACGCCCTAGCGCATGAGTGAAATAAGGTTCACTTTACACACCTGTCGCATAAATAGCTATTTTTTTTTACGGTTTTGGCTTCTGATTTTTAACGTCTCTACGAGTATCTCCAAAAGGATGGAAACAAAAGAAACAATTATAACGCAGGTTAAATATCGGGCGACTTACAGGTCAAACTCTAAAACAAAATTCCAGCTTTTACTGAATGAGAAATTATCTACTGACTTCCTCGTCTATATTCAACAGCTATGTTGATAGCCTGCCAAAAATCAATGGGCTTCATCACAAGGAAACATCAGGATTGTTTAGATGAGAACAATAAAGAAATTCAGAACGACATAGATCAGAAGAGGGGGAAGCCTACAATATGTGGCAAAACAAACTCAGCTTGAAGAAAACAATTCTCCAAGCAAAGATTCAGGTACATAAACGAACAAGAATGCATCCTCTTCCTCTTACAACACCAGAGCCTCCTTGAGCGCACACACAGTAGCAACTTATGTTCCATCTACAAAAGGTCCAAATCCTCTAAGATCTAGAGATGGTACGCAACCTGCTGAGCTTTTCAAGGTGAGCGGCCGGGCGCTTGTCGAACACACACATAGGATTATTTCCAAAATATGGAACATTGAGACGATTATTACAGATCTGCGTGACACCTCCTATTGTCACTATATTCATGAAACAACTTTTGCCAGAATTCCCTTCAACCGATTGCTTCCTTTACTTTAGACCTAATCTTGGTATGGTGGACATTCAATGCAAGGAAAATCGAAAGAGCAAAACAAACCCCTGCATATAGCATTTATGCGCTAATTATGACGTGCAGAGTATGATACATTTTAATTTTGAGCACTTTCATCTTTATTTATAAAAACCTTTATGTATCCTTAATTTTTTTTTTGTTCCAGGAGAAGGCAATTGCTTTCAATTGAGGAAGCCTGGAATTTACCCATTTCAGCCGAAATGTCTTCAAGACAACAACAGCAACCGCAACAATCGCGGTCTTCTACACAGCCCTTTCAAAAAAATTATGGACAAGCCGGAGTTCCTCAAGGGCCCCCACCTCCGTACCCTAGTCCCAGTGGAGGTTCCGGAAAATGTTTTAAAGTAGAACAGGATCAAAAAATAACCTCAAACACTGCTAGGCCGCAAAATCTGATGACTCAGCAACAGATCAATCTGTTAAACCATTTGCAAGCAAATGCAGCTACTTTAACCCAGGCTCAGCAAAATATTATGAGGCAGCTGCAACATCAGCATAATTTAATGCAGCAGCATTTGCGGAACCAGGCTAATCAAGCACAGTTGGTTCCTCCAGTTAGCGCTGCTGGAAATAGAGGTGGTCCCACAACACCATTTACCAACGCTCATCAACTAGGATCGGCTCTAAGTAACACTAAAAGCTTTTCCTCCACAAGCAGTAGTGCGAATCTAACAACATCATTTAATCCAGGACAACACCACGATTTAGATGTTGAAGCTGAGCTGAAAGATTTGCTGTCCCAAAAAGATTTGGCTACTACTTTGGCGGAAAACCTACTAAAACACTTTGGCTCTGAAGACATGGAAGATGTGAAAGAAGAAGCTGACTCTACGACACCTTCAACATCAGCAAGTACCTCAAAAGCAGCATCAGAACCTGCAGTACAAGTTAAATCGACAACTCTTTCTTCTGGTCCTTTTTCTCCTTCTAATATTGAATCAAAACCTGACCTTGTTGAACCCAAGAAAAGGAGGATAAAATCGCCAACACAAGACAGCGTACTTATAGTTAAGTCTGAACCCCCATGGGATTTTGAAGCTCTTCATTCATCTGAAAAGAAATCAAGTATCGATTATAGCATTGATATGAATGCAGAGACCGTTATTCAGTTATGTAAAAGTGAAGTTATAAGTGGTGATATAAATAATTCTATTATATCAGATACGGCACCACCACCATCACCTCCAGTACCCCCTTCCATCAAGTTAAGTCATCAACAACTCATCCCTCCTACACCATCAGTTTATTTGGACAACAAAAAGCATGCTTTTAGCCCGCAATTGCAAGAATTTTGTTTGAAACATCCTATAGCTGTAGTAAGAGGGCTTGCCTCAGCATTAAAGCTGGACTTAGGACTTTTTTCCACAAAAACCTTAGTGGAAGCAAATCCAGACCATAGTGTCGAAGTCAGAACGCAAATACAACAACCCTCAGATGAAAATTGGGATCCCCAGACTGGTAAAAAGGTTTGGGCTTGCATTTCACATCGTTCACATACAACTATTGCTAGGTATGCACAGTATCAAGCGTCCAGTTTCAAGGATAGCTTAAGGGTAAGTTCCAGATAGGTCACAAAATAAACATTACTTTACCATGTGAATTTGTTGTAGGAAGAACGCGAGAAAGCCCAAGCTGGTTTATCAGATTCGGATTCTAAAGATTCTACATTTTCTGGAGGGAAAAGAAGGAAAACTACTTTATCTATTACGCCAACGTCAATTACCAAGACATTGAAGGAACATAAAACGCTAAAGTAAGTGAATTAATTAACGAATAGAATAGAGAGAAATGTAGTTGTGGATGGATAATAAAACCGAATGCTAATTTAATGCTGTTTTGCGATAATATATTTCCTGTTTTGATGCATTTAGGGATATTTTTGATAGGCATATCTCAATAGACTATTCAATTCAATAGTGTTTCAATGAATATCTATTGTATAATAAGGATTATTTACGACTAGTAGTACCATAATACTAGTCGTAAATAATATTAACGCTGTGTTGAATTTCAGACAGACTGGCGTATTTCTGTCGACCCAAATAATTTAATTATTTTGGGTAACATCATTAACAGTATATGTATCTTGATCGTTTTATAGAAAAAATAATTAATTCACTGTATCAAAATTTTTATGTTCTATAGATAGCACAGGTCCATTTAGCATTACCTACGGTAACCTACCTATTTTTAGCTTCCTAGATAGGAAGTGTGTGTATGTATGTGTGTTGCCATTTTTCTGAGAAAACGGCTCGATGGAATTTGATGAAATTTTGGAAATAGGTATAAGAAGACGTGTAGGGAAAAGTCACACAGACATATAGGAAAAAATTCCTCTCAAAGATATGACGTCATTGATCTTTTTTTTAAATGGGAACGCCATCTTTTTTTTCATTGATTGGTTAGAGCTCATTTTGCTTTATATAATCTCAAAAGTCTCAATAGGTTTCATTAGGTAGTTATTTATCTAGGAAGCGTTATGTCAAAAATTTGACATCTGGTTTTTTTAATAATGGAGCCACGCATTTCTTTGGTAAAATAACTAATTAATTATACTATATCGAAGCTAGGAGTAATGTTGTACCAAAAAATGTGAAACTGCGTGTTGATCAATTCAGTGCGTTTATTTCAGTTCTATCTCTCATTTATTAAAAATTGGAGCTAGAATTTTTGTTGTTGTACCAAAGTCCCTACAGAAAAGCTACAAATTATTTAGTATGTACATAATTTTTTTAATGCAATTGGTAAGGCTAACTCGATGGAGGTGAAAAAAAGAACTTATACTGTTGCCTCAAGCAGAGGATCAAGGATCAATTATTTCATGTGTTAGATGCTTTAAAACCATGGTTTCAATTATTAGGAGTTTAGAGGAAGAAAATTCAAAATTAGTAGAACAAGTGCATTTGTGTGCTGATATCTAGAACTGCTACAAATTAAAGTTAATTTTAGCTTATTTAGTATTTTGTACCACATAATTCAGGCAGCTTTGGGCGGTTTGTCCTCCAAAAACATTCAAATTCACAAAATATTGTTCCTTAATTTCTAATATTTAAATCTAAATTTTTAGGATTGTCTTGCTGGCTGCGAGTTTTCCGCTCTTCCTTGCTCTATCTTGTTTATCAAGAATTTGTTGACGTGAAATATTTTTGAGACCCTAATAGAAAATTCGAAAATCACTTGAAAAATTATAAATGCATCGGCAAAAGAATATCTTTGACCCAACTTCTACACTTTTACCACTTTATTAAATACTTGTGTAGATTTTTTCAAAATTTTGATAGTTCTTTTTGTTTTTGGTAGATTTTCAAAATGTAAGGGTTTTCACGGATATGTACCTATTTGTATGGAATGGCTTCGTAGGTAAAGTAAGATAAATGTTCATTTAGCCCACAAAAATATGTTCAGTGAAGAAATGTCAATAATAATAGGTCTGTTTCTGCAGAAATCACAAACCATTCAGAGCGAATTTCATTGGTTGAAAACAGTCAGAAACAGTCAGAAAACTAGTTTCAACCAATGAAATTCACACTGACTGGTTTGTGATTTCGGCACAAACAGACCTACCATTTAATGGCCAATTGACTTTCTGGATAGCACAAGGTTTTTCTCTTGACCAGAAATGCTCGTTTCCACCATCAGTGAGATTTGAATCATATTTTTGATAGAAATACTTTTATTTCAAAAAAATACATTTTTTATTTGAAAATTGGATTTGAATCTTAACAAAATACTAACTAAGATCTAAATAACGCTCATATGGCGCTACGTGGGCCACATATAATAATTAGAGATATGGTAAAGTGACCATCCGTCCCGATTTAGGCGGGACAGTCCCGATTTCGAGCTACGGGTCCCGATTTAATAAGCGTCCCGCTTTTGTCCCGCTTTTTCACTAAATTCCAACTATCAACTTTTTATTGTTCATTTATTTTAAATCAAATTGAAAAACTATTTCGTTCAATATAATAATCAAATCTAAAAGTTTTCGCAGGTCTCAGAGCTCACAATAGTCACAAGCATTAGCGTTGAACAGTGCTTCGGCATTTTCAAAGTCCTTCCCGGTTGCATCTTTGTGAAGAACCGTTGCGTTGGAAAGACTGTACATGTTTTGTCTGTAGTTTCAAATTCGTTATTTTTTTGTATCCCATTACATATAGTCTAAGAGCCAGCGCCGAAAAAATTCTCTGAATTTACTAAAGCTAGTTTTTGGACAGTTGATTACAGTAGTGACGTACATAAACATACCGCGGTGAGTCAAGCGAAACTTGGGACAAGGACCCAGGGTGTCTTGTTAAAGGTGTCGAGATAACTTGGGTAATGCAACGAATTTACTAAAGCTGAAAATCGTTATACATATTATATATAACATATAAATAACAGTAGTGTTAGTCAGTCAGTTGAATAGCGGGACCGTGCTGGTCAGTCAGCCCCAATAAATGTAAAAATCTGCAAAAAATATTAATAATATTAATATTATTGAACAAACCTAATAATTTAAACTTCAACCTACAATTTGGAATTGTCACTGTCACGCTGTTACTCTAAAAAAAAAATAGACCTATTATTCTATCCCTATTATTTTTTTTACATAAATTGGGGCTGAACTACCTCAATGGGGCTCAATGACCGGCCCAGTTCCGCTATTCATCTGACTGACAAACATCACTGTTATTTATGTGTTATATATAATATGTATAGCGATTTTCAGCCTTAGTAAATTCGTTGCATTACTTAGCTATCTCGACAACTTTAACCAGACACCGTAGGTCCTTGTCCCAAGTTTCGCTTGACTGACCGAAGTATGTTTATGTACCTACGTAAATACTGTAATCAACTGACAAAAAACTAGCTTTAGTAAATTCAGAGAATTTTTTCGGCGCTGGCTCTCCGGCTAATATTTTGTATAACTACATAAGTAATTTTATCTGCAAGCGTGCGGTAACTGAGTTATATCACACGATTTTGCGTGATGATGATTATACCATTATACCATTGGGTAACCACCCTTAGAGATTGCAAACCTCGCTTAACCGGCTTGGTTTGCAAATTTCTCTTACTTGCGGTAATAACCTAGTTACCACACTTATTATACCGGGTGCCCACGAAATTACTTTCCGGCTGCCATTTTTTTATTTATTTATCGATATCAACGAAACTTGGTAGAGTTGATATTTGGAACTAACCCAAACTAACCCAAACTAACCAAACGCCATTTTTATGCATTTATGACAAGTTTTCCCGACTTCCGGTTTCACCGGAAATGACAGCAACTTTTTATTTTTAAATGGCACACCCTGTATATTTTTTGTTTTTCTCCTACAGATCGTTTTACATCCTAATGCACCACTTTTGAATCGATTTTTGTCCAAATTTTATTTTTAAATTAAATTTTATTTTTTCAACTACACCTTTTCCAATTGTAATTCAGAAACAGTTACATGTATTTCAGAAACCGTCAAATGTAATTGAGAATAGTAAAATGTTATTCAGAATGCGTTAATTGTAATTGAGAATAGTTAAATGTAATTGAGAAAGCGTCAAATGTAATTGAGAAAAGTCAAATGTTATTGAGAATGCGTTAATTGTAATTGAGAATAGTCAAATGTAATTGAGAAACCGTCAGATGTAATTGAGAATAGCTAAATGTAATTGCGAATGCGTTAATTGTATTTCAGAAAGCATCAAATGAGATTCAGAATAGATCAAATGAAATTGAGATCATGCAAGATTCGAAACTTTATAGTGTGTAAGCATTCGCAATTTGTGATTCGCATCTATGTATAGGAGCTACGCTTTAGACAAATCATTCAGTGAATGAAATTTCTGGATCAGGCGCCACAATTTTAAGGCTACCTCCTTATTCGCCAATGCTGAATGCCATCGAGAACATTTGGTCCAAAATAAAAACTTATGTTAAACGTAATTTATGAGTACCAGAAGTGAATGGGCCTGAAGTAGTTGAACAGCGACTGGCTTATTCAGAAGAAATAGTAGACCATGCTGAAACCCTACACCTTTTCCAATTGTAATTCAGAAACAGTTACATGTATTTCAGAAACCGTCAAATGTAATTGAGAATAGTAAAATGTTATTCAGAATGCGTTAATTGTAATTGAGAATAGTTAAATTTTATTGAGAAAGCGTCAAATGTAATTGAGAAAAGTCAAATGTTATTGAGAATGCGTTAATTGTAATTGAGAATAGTCAAATGTAATTGAGAAACCGTCAGATGTAATTGAGAATAGCTAAATGTAATTGCGAATGCGTTAATTGTATTTCAGAAAGCATCAAATGAGATTCAGAATAGATCAAATGCAATTGAGATCATGCAAGATTCGGAACTGTATAGTGTGTAAGCATTCGCAATTCGTGATTCGCATCTATAGGAACTACGCTTTAGATAAATCATTCAGTGATTGAGATGTCTGGATCAGGCGCCACAATTTTAAGGCTACCTCCTTATTCGCCAATGCTGAATCCCATCGAGAACATTTGGTCCAAAATAAAAACTTATGGTAAACGTAATTTACGAGTACCAAAAGTGAATGGGCCTGGAGTAATTGAACAGTGATTGGCTTATTTAGAAGAGAAAGTGGACCATGCTGAAACCACTAGAGTTAATGGTGACTGTGCCCGCGCTGCGCAACATTCGACGACGTTCTATGAGGCGGCTTTAGCTATGGAACCAATGCTTATTGGACGATAGTTTTGAGACTGTTTGTTTTTTAATTAGGATTTTATGTAACTTTCATT